AGAAAGATAGCTATATACAATAAAATATTGCTCATAAAAACAATGCTCACCCTTTTCACCTGCAGCTAAGAAACCTTTGTGAGATGAGTTCCAGGTTAAGTGTAAGGCTGAAAATGAAACAACACCAGAAGTCACAAATTTGAAAGTGTCATGTTAAAGTATCACTGCTGCTATTACTGCATAGCTTCCTCTTTAAAAGTGGCTTCTAGTTTTGTTTCAGTTTGTTGTCACACACTGAACTGCTATTCAGTACTTTTCACAGCCAATGTTGAGACATAGTCCTAAAATATAGGAAAGTGACAGACAGTGTGTTTGGTGTATGTCTATATGCATTGATTTGTTCAAGTTCAGGGGCTTGTATTAGCTGAGGTTAGGCCACAGGCAAAAATATAGGGGCAAATAACTTTCACTCAAATTGGCCACACCCCTAATTCTGCACAATAATATAATTCAAGCAGGTGAGTTATTTGTAATTTCCCAGAAACTAGAAACTGGTGGACTGGTTATATTCTTTCACACATTTCTTCAATTTCTTCATTCATCTTATCCACTCCCTCTCTATACTTCCAATAGAATCCCCCCCCCTCGAGATCGTTGATGGACGGCCTGCCTGAACAACACCCCCCCCCCACCACCACCAGTGTCTAGACTCTATAGGGGGGTATCCTATCTTGCTGTCTGCCTCATTACGCCTCAGAGTACGTCAAGTCATCATGATGGAGTCTAGTCCCCAAAGACTTTGCACATTTATTTCCTAAATTGTTAAATAAATAATTGTTCATTCTTAATTAAGTCTCTCCTGATTGAAATACAGCTGTCATGGTTGGGTTGCAAAGCTTAAACATGGAGCTCTATGAGGGCTGATAGATAGATAGATAGACAGACAGACAGATAGATAGATAGATAGATAGATAGATAGACAGACAGATAGATAGATAGACAGACAGACAGATAGATAGATAGATAGACAGACAGACAGACAGATAGATAGATAGATAGATAGATAGATAGATAGATAGATAGACAGACAGACAGATAGATAGATAGACAGACAGATAGATAGATAGATAGATAGATAGATAGATAGATAGATAGATAGATAGATAGATAGATAGACAGACAGACAGATAGATAGATAGATAGATAGATAGATAGATAGATAGACAGATAGATAGATAGATAGATAGATAGATAGATAGATAGATAGATAGATAGATAGATAGATAGATAGATAGATAGATAGATAGATAGATAGATAGATAGATAGATAGACTGACTGACTGACTGACTGAATAAGTTTTTGACACAGTAGCATCTGGTAATAAAGCAACCATGTGCACAACAACTTTTCTCATGCACTCAGCTCAAAGGAGGCGTATGTGGCAAATATACAGCATTGATATCATCAGTGGCTGTTACATCATAATGAATACTACACTATTAGTCAGCACAAATGAAATGACTTCAGCTCTTTTGAAACCTTCACACATTTTAACACAAAGAGAGTTTCCATTTCTGCTTTTTTAGAGATTGAATAAGAGTTCAAATTTGTGAAATGCAGAAGCTGTTGCCCATTCTTAATTGCTCAGCTGAGTTAACAGGTTTTTGTGTTGTAGCTTCATATTGAACTAACAAAGAAAGTGGAGAATAGTAAAGTAGTGTTCTCACTGAGGTTGTTAGAAGCACTCTCACTTCACCACCCACAAAGATATTTCTTCAAGATGAAATAGCTAAAACCAAGATGAGGCTCAAAAAGCATCTGCATGTTAAACAGTTATTAAAATTGCATAGATTTTAGACTTTGAGGTAAAAAAAAATTCAAATGTTGCACACTGTGATTGAAAGAAGTTGTGATTGGAGTTGTTTGGTCCTCTATCCCAAACACTTCCTGCGCTCTCCTCCCTTTTACCCTTTTACATTAACATGCTTCTATCATTAACCCACTCGCTCCGCCTCCTGCATAATAGCTCGTGCTTGATGCAGGAAGGAGAGGATAAGAATGTGTTTCCTTTCTCTTTTTTTTTTCTTGAGAAGCATCTTGAATGAATGATTGATGTTAGGGGAGCAAGATCAGAAAGATATAATCACGGTCTAACGAACTCATAGCCTTAAGAAATATATACTGGAGGAATGCCATAAATTTATAAACACATCATATATTAATATATAAGTAGCCCATTGACTATTCAAAAAGAGGGAAATAGCTTCATCTTATATCCACAATGCAATGCATGCTTTTCTTTTCTTTTTTAACCCTGCAAGAAAGCAACAAACGCTTGGAAGTTAAATCCTGCCTCTCTGCTTTTTCACCCATAGCTCACACGTTATTTTTCCTACAAACTATGATTAAACATAGTCTTGTTCATGGCCAGTGGCTTAATAAATTGCCATTCTCTGTGAGTGATGTGGGTTTTGTGTGGAGACGTGCAATGTCAGTGTTGGGGGATAACTTCATTTCCAAGCTTTGATCACAGATGAGTGGGAGACAGTAAGTCCGTGTTCAGTATATGAGCACCTTTCACGGGACAAATGGAATGTCAATCAAGCGCTGGTACATAGATGCTTTCTCCCAAGTGGGGCCCGAGATGCTTTCTGGTGATGGAGCTCTGTTGTTCCAACTCTACTCTGGGTGCACTGGGAATATTTTGTCCTTTTACCTCCACATCCCCTTGCTCCATTCCAGATCCCCTGTCTATTTAATGTTTTCCTCTGCTCCCCAAGTTTGCCCCTTCAGATTGTCCCTAGTTGCCACAAACATTTCTACATGTTCGATGTCTTGCACGTTAAGTTTGTCACCCTTAATCCTTTTGTAAATTATGATTTATTTCTCTTCATCAAAACTAATTTATACCATTTTGATTCTTCCTCTCATTACCTCTAATAAAAGTCACTCTGTATGCATTTGTGTGAGGGCAGGGGATTCTTGTTGAAATGTAGAAAAGAGAAATACTCTTTTCAAAATCATCAACAATTTCTTTTGACACTTCCCTTTAATAAAAAAAAAACCTGATTGCTCCATCAAAGTCTTCATAATTTCATTTCTGTTAACCTTTACAAAGACCAGCAAGACAAACAAAGCGTAGCATAGCATAGAGTAAACTGGGAAACTGTACAGGATTACTTTTTGTTTGAATGAGCATACAAATCTGTTAATTGTAACAATTTGTAACAAAAGTGAAAAAATCGGATACTGAGGCAATTAAATATTCACTGAACACATTTAACTCACACATCAAGTCTTGCGATACAATTTCCACTTGTGGTGACAACAAAAGGTATTATAATTTTGTATGTTAAAACTCCTGGTAAAGGCTAGGTAAAGTGTATTATATATTGTGATACAGAAAAAGTCTGCACTATTTCCCATACATTTACCAAAGTACTGTGTGTCTAAAATGAATTCAGATATTCTGCATGTAAGCCACAGTTTCTGACTTTCAGAGTGTTTTACTTTAATCTGCTTCCTCCACTCTGAGCAAAGCGATCATGATAAAGTAAATATAAATGTCATTTCTAAGAGACAGTGTTGTAAGCTGTCTCCCCTGCGAGTGGTCATGATTCATCAATTAGTTCAGATAATGTTTTATGAGATCAAATGTGCTGGTAAACTCAATAACAGGTTACTAAATGATTGAATGACTGGGTTGCTTGGCAAGGTGCTTAGGAAACATATCTCACAGGTTTCCTTTAGACATCAAAGGATACTGTCAAATAGAATATCTTCTAGTATATTTTATGTAATTATTAAAGTTTTTATATAGCCTATTTGTATATTTTCTGTAGGCCTATATTTCTACGTTACACTGCACTTTTACATCTAAGTAGATGCTAAACTCAGAGATCTCACTGCAACTGCGTTTGTTGTGTAGGCCAACTTTATAAAAGAAAAGCTTTTAAGTTTCTGGGGGATATTTTACTCCTCATGCTCTCTTTCAGCCCTAAAATCCTATCCCTGCCACGAAACGTGTAGGATACATTTGAATTTGATTTACCCTCACAAACTCCTTCAAACACTTACTGACATACTTACCCTAGTCTTCAACATGCCCCAGCGATTAAAAAAAAAAAAAGATCTAAAGGTGGACTAAGAAGACGTGAAAAAAAAAATCACTAGACGAGGACGAGTAAAGACTTTGTCATTAAAAACATGACAAGCCATTCAGTTGGTAACGGTGCTTACTCAAGGGAATGCATAGTGTTTATTCTTTGATTAATTTGCTTGGATGAGACCTGAAATCTCCCCACTCATGAATGTGTGGATGACAGCGAGATTTCTCCGTGGTGACAAGTTATCTAAACTACAGGGCAAAACGATTATGCTAATATTAGGTTGTAGTCATCAATCATCTTGTGTCAATGGGGTGCCAAGGCATCACGTTCCCGGTCCCCCTCTGGCCATAGCCCTAAGTGTGTATGCAGCTGTGTGTTTATTTGGAAGGGAAAATTGATCACTTTCTCTTTACGCCTGGGGAGTGTTGGGGGGGGGGGGGGGGCTAGTTGCACTTGCGCTTGGTTGGAGCTGTTCTCTTGGATAAGAGCTGATAGGAAACTGGGAGGGAATTAATTGGGAGAGTTTCTTCGTCTTGATATGAATACCGGGATGCACACGCAGAGTCCGAGATGACGTCAGAGAGACGCACCTTATAAGCAAAGAGCGCATCACAGGGAGAAGCATGGTTTGAACGGGAACACGTACAGTACACTCGCTTTGGATTGCTAGACGGCAGGGAAAGCTGTAAAGGATGCGAAGTATTAACTTTTAAAGATTGTTAATGGTGTTGCGTATAATGAAGGTGATGCGTAAATGTCTCCGAGCCTCCATTTGGAGCAGGTGGTAGGTCACATCAATTTTTTATTTTTTTTTATTTTTTTTTAAAGTTGACTGTGAAACAAACTCTGAAGTAAGCTACTGTTGAGAACAGACGTCATTGGCACGGATGCTGTTGGATGTCGCCCCGTGTCTGCTCTCCTCCGTCTGTCTCTTTGAACTCTTTTGAGCCATGGCTTACTCCCAGCTTGGATACTCCTACCCCACCACACCACAGGTACAGTCAGTGTTTTGCAGTTTTTGTTTTTGTCTTTGAAACAAGATGATTAACAGACTTTAAAATCTGTACGAAAATGACATTTTCTTCTGAAATGTAAAAAAAAGTTAGTAGCACGGCTTAATTTGATCTCTGTTCATTTCTGATGTTTAATCTAAAAACCAACTCAAATCAGAACACCTAACATTTTCAGTTATAGGCTACAAGCAAACCACACGGGTGAAATAAAAATATACTTGATACATGATAAGCAGGTTTGAACGGTATTTGGTTTAAACTAGCCTACTTGATCGACAATACAAATAATGTTCTTGTGTGTGGAAAATGCCTATTAAAATGTTTTCACTGATAATGTAATCGGACATGTGATGTTAATTTTTGCATTTTTTTTTTCTAAGTTTCTGACGACCTCCAGCTCTCTGTCCAGTGGTTTGGAACCGGGAACGCCTCCGTCACACCCAGGCCACCAGCTCAACTCTGGCACCGGCATTGGAGTGTACAGCGGCCCTTATGCAAAGAGCCAAAGTTACTACAACACCTGCGCCAGCGACGCCACCGCTCTCTATTCCAGAGTGAGTTTTAGATTTCAGCAAATGTTCATAATTGCAATTATTTCACCTTTATTTTAAAATGCGTAATTGCGTACATAGTCGGTAAGCACGCGAGGGAAGAAAAGTTGAACAAAGTAAAAACTATGTTTTAAAGTGGACTTCAAATATTAAAGAGCGATTTGATTATCATACTTGTCCGAAATAAATTCAAGATTTGGTCACTCTGAAAGAGAAATTAAGTGAATTATTGTGGAATATAGAGGCATATATTTTGTTACACTTAAATCATGTATTTGCCATTTTTATTCAGGGACCACCAGATCCTAAAGACGGAGCTGCATCTGCACATGTAGGAACATCTCAGACTCCTGCCTACTATCCTTATGAATACACATTGGGACAGTATCCCTATGACAGATATGGGTATGTATGAATATCAGCTAAGTGCTTTAATAGCCCATAATTAAACCACATTTATATTCAGAACTGTAATATCTAAACATCATATATTCTCCTCTTGGGACTGCTGACTCCCTTGTGAGATATACATTTACTATGTGCCTGTAGCACTGTTGTGTTTAGTGAACTCATATTCCTTTAGGACTTCTCATCATTGTATAGCTATTACACACTTGCTGATCAAATCTTTGCTGGGTTTTAGTATCTTGAACTAGTTTGAGGTGGTATTTTTGCACATTCTGGTATGATCTAACGCTAACCCACAATGGTAAATCATTGATTCATAAATTCAAGTCAGTAGTTACGATTAAATGAGTAAGGCTAATAATTCTTATTAGCATGGGTTGTTCACTTATTTTTGGAATAGCCCGGCTGCATTTTTATACAATTATAAACTTTTGGCTCAGGTATTCCTGCTCTGATGGTGCTTCCCGTCGTAAAAATGCAACCCGAGAGACCACCAGCACGCTGAAGGCTTGGCTGCAGGAACACCAGAAGAACCCCTATCCCACAAAGGGAGAGAAGATAATGCTTGCTATCATTACTAGGATGACCCTTACACAGGTAGTTGAAAATCTCTTAATAAGGCTGATAATGTCTTTCTTTCCCTCAGTCAAGATTTACCCTTCCTTGTTTTGTCTTTATTAAAAACCTTCCCTCAAACATTCATTTTTCCTTCTTCTCTTCTTCATTGATTGACTGATCTGTCCTATCTTCCTCACTTCTTCTTCACTATAGTACAATCTCCTTACTACTCCTATTCGTACAATTGAATTTTCTTTTCTTACCTCTATTCTGCTCTGCTCTCAGGTGTCTACTTGGTTTGCCAATGCACGCAGAAGGCTAAAGAAGGAGAATAAGGTCACGTGGTCACCGCGGGCTTGTAAAAGTTGCGATGACCAAGGCTGTGATGATGACAGTGACGAAGCTGAGAAGCCTCTGAAATCTGAGAAAGACCTTTCTGGTGAGCAGGGCTTAACATAATCTGTCAGAATGTTTTGCATGTTTTCTCTTAGTATGATAAGCGTGAACTAAGTATTTTCTTCATCATTCACTTCAGATCAACAGCGTGAAGACATGCAGAGTGACCTTGATGACTTTGAACTGCTTGAATCAGAAGGTTCTGACTGTGAGCAGAAGCCACAGTTTCTGCCTGAGGACAATAATGCAAACCCTAACACAGACCCCCGACATCGGCATCTCACACGCAACCCTGACCCGCTGCAAGGAAAAGAGAGAGCGTCCCCAGGATGTCACAAACTCACATCGGTCCAACAGCAAAAAAACACCTATTATCCTAATCAGGACCTTCGAAGTACAGAAATCAAGCCAAAAATTTGGTCCATTGCTCACACTGCTGCGTCATTAGATGGCCGATTGCATCCAGAATACCCTCCATGCATGCTGTCATCGACTGGTTCTTCTGGTCCTGGGTATCCATCAAACATGGCGCTGACCAAGGCAGACAGGCAACAGGAATCGCCAGTAGCATCGCTCAGAGAATGGGTGGACGGAGTTTTTCATGGTCCTTCTTTCCATCAGACCAAACCAGCTGACGTGTGGAAAGGCTTAAACGATTCAGACAGCAGAACACCCGGACAATCCTTTGAAGTAGTTAGGTCTACGTCTTTGTAGTCCAACGAACACATACAGTACTTTACAGAATATTTGAAAGACTGCTGGACTTGGGATAAAAAGTTTATATTTTGTTGTTCTGACTTGACTGTTTGCTAAGGTCCAACCCTTTGTGTTACTGTTAGCTATTATGTCTGTCAACCTTTCCCTCCCAACATAAAGTTTATAGTGAACAATGACAAAATCAGGCTTCTTGTTTGTAGCCTACAAATATCCATTTTTCCAACTGAAATGACATTTTAAACCCTTTAGCTAGCTTGCTAATTCAGCTATTGTTAACCATGAGATTTTCAAAAAACATTTTAATGGCTGGCTGGCATATGAATGTGTCCAGCTTAACTTTGAAAAAAAAGAGTCTTAAATATGCACTTTTTCATCCCAAATTCATAATAATGTGAGACTAGAGTTTACAGATCTAGGAAAAGGTCAGCTTATGGATACATGTTGAATAAATCTAGGCTTTTATGACAAGTTCTAACATGGATATGTTAATCTTAACCTATCTTGGGTATGTTCTTCTCAAGTTCCTGGAGAGTAAATAACTCAAATTCTAGGAAGAGCAGGACAGAGCTGCTAAAGTAGGCCAAAACTGATCAAGAGAATAGTATACAGTGAATCGATTTGTTGATCTGGACCAAACTATAAATGAAGTTAATGAGAGCTAATAATAACTAGCTTTGGAAGCCATGATTAGTCACTGTTAAAAGTGAACTTGTAAGATGTCTAAAAAACGATTAATTCTTTATTCAACATTTGTTTTCAAGATTTTGGTTTTGTAAAAGTTTGAAACAACCTTACCAAACTCTACACACTTTCAGTGCATAGTATGCCACTCTACTGTTGTGCCATGTACACCACTTTGAAGTTGAGAAATTCATAGTTTGACAGACCTAGTAGCTAAGCTATGATTGAACAATCATAGTTCAAAGTAGGTGTTTAGCGGTCAATCAATTTGATCCTATTTTGCTATTTGGATTGATACTTTTGTGAACCCCATTAATGATCAATTGTCTTAAAGCAAACAAGTGTCTTCACACATTTTCCTGCAGCAAGGTTGTATGGTTCACACACTTGAAAATTATACAATGTTGTACACTTGCACTATAACCTGCACATGCACTGAATCACAAAAATAAAAGACATAGTATTCTGTAGCATGGTAATTTCTATGAATTTGCCCTTACATTAGCTGTCCACTGTGCTGCAACCATTACAGTATGTGCAGCCATAACACCAATAAAATCTCTTCAGGAATTGTAGAATATACCAAAACATGCTTGGGTGTGTGTGTGTGTGTGAGTCAAAGTGTTTGTGCGTGTGTGTTTTAAGGGAGTGAAAGGGGGGAAGTGGGTGGTATTCAGCCGTGACTAATGGAAACACACAGAGGAGGGTACTGCTAAATTGTTAAATCGATGCCACTTCCACCTCGGCTCCAGATATAGCTGCAATCAGCGATGCGTCCCTTTTCATTAGGCAGCTTTTGACTCTGTCAACCTGGGACTGCAAGAAAATCCAACGAGCGCAAAATGCTTCATCAAACCTCCTAAGTATTTGAAGTAAGTGTTGCTTGTTTATACACAGCAGTGACTTTCTAATACAACCAAAATTTAGAGCAATCGCCGAATTAAACAAAGTAATATGGCTGGCATCATTAGTTGCAATGTTTTATGAAAAATACATTTTCATCAACTTCAATTATTTAAGAACACTTTACAAATTTAGCATCAAAAACATTCAGACAAACACTTTCTAAAACAAAGAACAATGAGAAACAGACATTTTTTTTTCTTCTCAGCCCCATCTTTCTCCTCCTGTTTTTGATTTAGGAAGGGTGATAAAGTATTTATCAGAACAGAGGAGGGATCTGCCCGAGCTTTGTATGGAATTAACCATTTCAGATTAAATAATTCAGGATGAATTCAACCGAGAATTTCATTCTGTTTCTGCCTCATAAATAAGTAACTTTTAAAATGATAAATAATGACATCTGACTTCTTATTTCTTTAAAGTTCTCTTTCTTCCACCCCCAGTCCAACAGGATATCATTTTCGTTGGCTACAAATTCATATATTGTAAATTTAGATCGCATTGGCTTTTTTATAAATGATCCTCTTTTTGATTCTTTTCAAAACAAATCTTGCAGTAGATTTGACTTCAATAAGCAGGTGGAGGTGTCATAAAGTATACAGATAAGAGGCTGACCCAGTTCTGAGTGGGGTGAGGAGATATAAGGCTATACTTGTTCTCACCCGTAGCTGTTTGAGACATGACCGGTCTCAGGGACAGAACTAGGGGAAAACTGCCACAGTAAGATTTTATCATAACATTTTACCCAACAATTTAGTGTTGTACATTGAATGTGGTCTAAATTTGTAAAATAAGTTAAAATTGTCTTGAGTATCCTACTCTAAACTACATTTATAATAGTATCATTTAAATCGTTTTGCAGTTTCAAATGTTACTAACCTTTTCAAATAGATGGTAAACTTATTGGCAGTTTAAATTCTGCAGACTTGAAGTAGTATAAACTAAGAGCCACATTTCTGTGTAATTTGGCAAAGCAACATTGAGACGTAGAGTCCAATATTTATGACTTTTCACGCAGTGTCTCACCTCTACCCACTCTGGAAAATAATATCTAGCTTTTTTAGCCAGCTAGTTGCTAAGTGTGTTTGTCTTCTCCTGAGCAAATTTGATCAGTGTTTCAAGCTTTTTGCTAAAACAAACAAAAAAAAGCTGCCTGCTGTTGCCAAAGTATTATCTTGTGACTTGGGTAGAGTGAACACAGACAGGATGAAATTAGAGGTAGAAAAGAAAGTAAGCAGAGTGCAAACTATCATATTTAACATGATTATTTGATCCATAAATCCATCGATAACAGCTACGCTTTGACTGTTAAATAAGTCATCTAAACTACTAGTTTTCTCTCTCAAAAAAAAACATCTAAGAGAAAGTTTTAACTATAACAAGGTTGTTGTGACTTTTAAATTGGAGATGTTTAAAGGACTGGAAATTTGATGCAAAATACTGTGAAATACTATCAGGAATGTAAACAGCATTTTTTTTTCATAGGGAGGTTAGCATCTATTGTCACTTACCTCACATTCTCTATCTTACTCCTCTGCCCACCACACACCATTTCCTCTACCGCCTTCCTTTTCCTAACACCAAATGTTTCATTCTAATTTTCTGTCCTGAATATTGCCCTCATCGCTGCTCCCGCCATCATTCTCCCAACTCTTATCTCTGTATTACACAAGCAACTCACTCAAGTCCAACACAAGGTCCTGGGCCATATAATGTGATGGCTCTCAACTGTTGCTGTGTACAGGTTAGGGAATGTGTTAGAGCCATTGTTTATAAGTCTTGCTCACATGCCCAGGAATTGTATAGGCCTTTTAGGAGAACTTTGATGTAAAAGAGAAAAGAGTCTTTTATCAACTCAGAAGAGTAACTTTTTGTGAATCACCCTTAAATGTTCAATGGAATGTCTGCACAGAAAGTATTGACAACTTTAAATTACTCCTATCTGCACCCCATCTAACACCTATTTTCTTTCAGCACTGTGTCGGCCTGTGTCTCTGTTGAACACACACACACACACACACACACACACACACACACACACACACACACACACACACACACACACACACACACTGGCACAGATATCCACATAGTTCTAAGTCTCTTGCGCCTTGTCACACACACTTTGGTTTCCGGGGCTATCAAAGTGCTGAGTGCAAACTCTCTCTCCTCCAAAAAACTGTCACATGTCGCCAGAGGTGTCTCGCTCCCTGTGGTAACCCTCTGAGCCCCTGGCACAAGAACAAGTCATTATTTCCATGGTAAAGGTCAGACGCTCCATCACCTGACTCTAAAGTGGAGCTGAGTGAAGTTGCCTTGAGACAATGACCAAAGGTCAGTTTCCTGTTTTGCCTTTCATACTGTAAGTATGGATTTGAGAAAGACGGGCTGCTCCCAGATCAGCTTATGGCTCTTTTTGGTCACAGAGGCTTCTAGACATAGAGGTTCAGATAATTGGCTGCAGGGAGTTCCATAATGAGCCTGAGGCTCTGTAATATGACACATCTTCAAGCAGAATTGTTTTAATAGGGCAATTACAGCGACAAGTAGGATGTTTTGTGTTAAGTGAATGATTGTTGTGGATGAGCTGTGTTAAAGTATTCAATGGCATTTAACTCCATTATCTCTTGGGTAGCGTGGTGACTTGAGGATATATTTTAAATATGATAACAGTTTCAATTTATCTTATTTTTTGTCCCAACAGTGAAGGTCATGTTACGCTTTCAATTTGTATATGCTGAAAGAAAGCAGATAAGAGGGTGTAGCCATGGATCCCGGTGGTGATTTGACAGTTTGAAAACATGAATAAGTCAATCTGCAAATTGTCTGGATTCAACTTTGTAATCTGGAGATACATAACATACAGTCTATGATGTTAAAGAATATTCTATTATGCCGGCTGATGCATTTAATAGCATTGAATAATTAAACGGGGAAGTTTAATCCAGCACAAAAACACAGCACTGCTTAATTCAGCACGATTCATATGCTCAGTTTCATCTGAAGATTTTGCCTCTGGCAATGCCTCCAACTCATCCAACCACCACCTCTGAAGCACTCAGACTTACCAACCGCAGGATCAACCAGTCAACTCTCTGACACCGACCCGGCTCGCCTGCCTCATTTAAACAATACACCTCTCTCTCCTTCAATCATCCAAAGTGGTCTGACTATAGATGAGGTTAACTACAGCATAAGCCTCACTTCCAGGAGTCACCAGGGCCAATTATATCAGCCTGACTACTCTTCCCAACCTGAGCTCTATGGTGTGGAAAATGCAGTTCCACTGGCTGCATCACTGGGGACAGAACAGGCTAGTGCTGTCTGGAGCCTGAGCCAAGCACAGCCCAATTTGGCATGCAGAGGTCTTTGGAGAATAAGTCTGATGAAATATATATATGATCTTCTTCAAA